TTGTAAAGTTCCCATGTGCGCTAGCACATTCTGTCTTCCCTTTATATATTTATAATTGTTTAATGTCACTGAAACTTTATTACACAAAAAGATTTACATTTTGTGGACTGCGGGGGTGCAAGGTGTTGTGGGTATGAGAGAAAGGGGCATGCTGGCACAATAAAGGTGAAGCGAAGGATGATAACCACGGGGTTTCCGCCCGTGTATGAAATGTGGGTTGCGACTCTCCTACCCAAATATCAACACGAATGAGAGAGAGAGAGGGAGAGAGAAAGAGACGCTGAGAGAGAGAGTGAGAGGAACGCGGGAGAGAGAAAGAGACGCTGAGAGAGAGAGACGGGAGGAGAGAGTGCATGATGTGTGCTCAGCATTCACTAACTACTGGTGCTCCGAGGCCACACTTGTCCAACAGTGTTCAACACCTTATATGGGAAAACAATTAGGAAACACAAGCAAAAATGTATAGAGAATTTAATGGGAACGTAGAGCAGTGTACACGGGTGTGACACTAGCCGTGTACACGGGTGTGACACGAGCAGTGTACACGGGCGTGACACTAGCCGTGTACACGGGTGTGACACTAGCAGTGTACACGGGTGTGACACTAGCAGTGTACACGGGTGTGACACTAGCAGTGTACACGGGTGTGACACTAGCAGTGTACACGGGTGTGACACTAGCAGTGTACACGGGTGTGACACTAGCAGTGTATACGGGTGTGACACTAGCAGTGTACACGGGTGTGACACTAGCAGTGTATACGGGTGTGACACTAGCAGTGTACACGGGTGTGACACTAGCAGTGTACACGGGTGTGACACTAGCAGTGTATACGGGTGTGACACTAGCAGTGTACACGGGTGTGACACGAGCAGTGTACACGGGTGTGACACTAGCAGTGTACACGGGTGTGACACTAGCAGTGTACACGGGTGTGTACACGGGTGTGACACTAGCAGTGTACACGGGTGTGACACTAGCAGTGTATACGGGTGTGACACTAGCAGTGTACACGGGTGTGACACTAGCAGTGTATACGGGTGTGACACTAGCAGTGTACACGGGTGTGACACTAGCAGTGTATACGGGTGTGACACTAGCAGTGTATACGGGTGTGACACTAGCAGTGTACACGGGTGTGACACTAGCAGTGTACACGGGTGTGTACACGGGTGTGACACTAGCAGTGTATACGGGTGTGACACTAGCAGTGTATACGGGTGTGACACTAGCAGTGTATACGGGTGTGACACTAGCAGTGTATACGGGTGTGACACTAGCAGTGTACACGGGTGTGACACTAGCAGTGTACACGGGTGTGACACTAGCAGTGTATACGGGTGTGACACTAGCAGTGTCACACAGAACAGCGAACAATAGCGTGGTTAGTATCCAGCATTATGCTAATGTCCAGTATAATGTCAGTATTGAGCATAATGTCAATGTAAAACATGATGTCAGTGACATTATAATGTCAGTGGCATCATAATGTCAGTGACAGCATACTGTCAGTGTACAACATAATATCAGTGTACAACATGATGTCAGTGTACAACATGATGTCAGTGACAGCATAATGTCAGTGATAACATACTGTCAGTGTACAGCATATTAATGTAAATCATAATGTCAGTGTACAGCATACTGCCATTGTACCGTATACAACAGCGTGGTCAGTGTACAACAGCGTGGTCAGTGTACAACAGTGGTCAGTGTACAACAGTGGTCAGTGTACAACAGCGTGGTCAGTGCACAACAGCGTGGTCAGTGTACAACAGCGTGGTCAGTATACAACAGTGGTCAGTGTACAACAGAGTGGTCAGTGTACAACAGTGGTCAGTATACAACAGTGGTCAGTATACAACAGTGGTCAGTGTACAACAGTGGTCAGTATACAACAGAGTGGTCAGTGTACAACAGGGTGGTCAGTGTACAACAGCGTGGTCAGTATACAACAGCGTGGTCAGTGTACAACAGCGTGGTCAGTATACAACAGCGTGGTCAGTGTATAACAGCGTGGTCAGTATACAACAGCGTGGTCAGTGTACAACAGTGGTCAGTATACAACAGTGGTCAGTATACAACAGTGGTCAGTGTACAACAGAGTGGTCAGTGTACAACAGAGTGGTCAGTGTACAACAGCGTGGTCAGTGTACAACAGCGTGGTCAGTGTACAACAGAGTGGTCAGTGTACAACAGCGTGGTCAGTGTACAACAGAGTGGTCAGTGTACAACAGAGTGGTCAGTGTACAACAGAGTGGTCAGTGTACAACAGCGTGGTCAGTGTACAACAGCGTGGTCAGTGTACAACAGCGTGGTCAGTGTACAACAGTGGTCAGTATACAACAGTGGTCAGTATACAACAGTGGTCAGTGTACAACAGAGTGGTCAGTGTACAACAGCGTGGTCAGTGTACAACAGCGTGGTCAGTGTACAACAGCGTGGTAAGTGTACAACAGCGTGGTCAGTGTACAACAGCGTTGCCAGTGCACAACAGCGGTCAGTGTACACTGGCACGACCGGTGAACAACAACGTGGTCAGTGTACAACAGTATGACTGTCAGTGTAAAACTGAGGTCAGGGGTTGAACAGGACCAAAAGTGCACAACACCCCTCCAAACCTCAGAGAAAAAAAAAAGAGTAAAAACAGAGAAACGGCAATAAACAGCAAAACATCTGTGAAACGAGGAAAGACCATAAAAACAATGAAACGGTAAAAAAACAGTGAAACGGTAAAAAAACAGTGAAACGGTAAAAAAAACAGTGAAACGGTAAAAAAACTGTGAAACGGCCAAACATTTGCTTTACCTCAGGCAAGCAGGCGTGAAACACGCTAATGTAACCGCCCATGGCAGAGCTTTAATTCTCCGCTTTCAACACAGAGGAACTTGACATCTATCCATTAATTCCTTGACTTGAAGATTAAGGTGTGCTAAGCTTTAGATGCAAGAGAGAAGAATATTGAAAGTAACAGTTTATGCCAAGATGCAAATACTGAAAGCAACTGGAAAAAAAAGTAAAAAAAAAAGATCCTTCATAATCTAATTTATATCTCGCAGTCGCCAATATTGTCCTAGGGGGGTGAGTATTGAGCTAGGGTTAATGTTGTGGTCTAGGGTAAATGGTCAGTAAACATTAACCCCCCCATTACTGAACTGGGGAATAATGGGGAAGGTGTTAGGAACTGTCACCTAAACTTTCTATTTAATTATCATTAGTTGTCAACATTCTTAAAAGGCCAACATTCTTACATGTGGCATCATTCTTTTCTGACGGTTTATAATGCTGAACATTCTTCCCTAAGGTAACAGTCTCCCAAGAGGCAACATTCTTACAAGATCCAATATTATAAAATGTTGATAACATAGTTATCGGTGTCAAAATTATAAGTGTTAATATTATCTACACACTGGCAACAGTCTCACTAATGACAACATTTTGCACCATTTAAGACATTCTATCAATTCAACATTTTCACTAAGTAGCAACATTCTTAGCCGCGAAAACAACAACATTCCCTATTGGCAAAAGATTTCCCTAGATGTAAATATTTTTCCCCTAGCGTCAACATTACCCCCCTAGCTGAGGACATTATTGGGGCCTGCGACAGTCAACTAGCATAGCTTATACATAGACTAATGTATAGTTCAGGAGGTCACCAGCATCACTATCTTCACTAACGTCTTGGGTGAGAGCCCAATCATACAAAGTTGATTATTATATATATATATATATATATATATATATATATATATATATATATATATATATATATATATATATATATATATATATATATATATATATATATATATATATAAAATTTTGTCAACTATCTTACATCTGATCATATTTCCAGCCTATGATAACGATAATTTAAATTTATTTATGTTCCAAAGCCTATTTATTTAACCCAATATTGCTTATGATTAAATCCCAGACACCTAAGCTTAGTAGCATCATACGCTCAGTCTTCTTCAAGTCTTAATGAAACAAGGTTGTTCAGAGACAGTCTACCTCGGTGGTCTTCACAGCCGAGGACAGGGGGCATAAACATTATTATTTACTTATTTAATTTCAAATAGCTCATGAAACCTGAATACATAAATAGCTTTTTGAAACCATATATTTGTTTTCATCTAACATTCTATCGATGAACGTTCAATATTCCTAACATTGTTATATTATAAGTGTGACTCTCACTTCCTGCCCTGCCTCTCAACTCTCCTGCATGTTGTCCTGCCTCTCCATACATCTAACTACTGTCGTGCCTCACCAACCACCTGCCTACTGCCCCTGCCTCACCACACACCTGCCTACTGCCCCTACCTCACCAACCACCTGCCTACTGCCCCTGCCTCACCACACACCTGCCTACTGCCCCTGCCTCTCCACACACCTGCCTACTGCCCCTGCCTCACCACACACCTGCCTACTGCCCCTGCCTCTCCACACACCTGCCTACTGCCCCTGCCTCACCACACACCTGCCTACTGCCCCTGCCTCACCACACACCTGCCTACTGCCCCTGCCTCACCACACACCTGCCTACTGCCCCTGCCTCACCACACACCTGCCTACTGCCCCTGCCTCACCACACACCTGCCTACTGCCCCTGCCTCTCCACACACCTGCCTACTGCCCCTGCCTCTCCACACACCTGCCTACTGCCCCTGCCTCACCACACACCTGCCTACTGCCCCTGCCTCTCCACACACCTGCCTACTGCCCCTGCCTCTCCACACACCTGCCTACTGCCCCTGCCTCTCCACACACCTGCCTACTGCCGTCCTTCTCTCTCACCCCACTTTATCCCATCTACCTTACCTCTAATCATCTTTTACCTGTATATCATTTTCTCTTCCTTTTCTGTTTTACTTTTTTGCTCCTACACATGGCCATACCCTCTCCTCGCCTACCTATACCCTCTGCCCGCCCTTCCTCCCAGCTGGTGACCTCCCAGGAGCGGGAAGAGGGAAACACAGAGTGGCGTTGCATGCCTCGTGCGTGGGAGCGTCCGTAGCGTTGTTGGGTACCTGGCCCTGCGACATGGAGGTGGCCCCGCTCAGTGCTGCCTGCCACGCCGACGACAAGGGCTTCTCTCCTCCCCCTGATGCTGACCCCAGCGACGCCCCGACCTCTCCACCTGCAGGGACAGACAACACTCACGTTAGTTAACCGTCACCAAAACATGTCAGGCAGGTATTGCTACCTCCAACTCTCACATCAACAGCCTGCAAGACATGATATTGTTAGTGGTAAATAAAAAAACAAATTTTATTGTAAAATGGTCGAGGGAAGTATATTCTCTCTCTCTCTCTCTCTCTCTCTCTCTCTCTCTCTCTCTCTCTCTCTCTCTCTCTCTCTCTCTCTCTCTCTCTCTCTCTCTCTCTCTCTCTCTCAGATTCCTGTGGAAATCAGATGTGAGTTTTCTTGAATTACCTAAAATTAATTTTGAATTACAAAAAATAATTAGACCCTTTTTGAAGAAATAAAACCTGAAAAATAATTTAAGCCCCAAAGGCGACTCAACAGTCACACCTTATCATCATCATTAAAAACAAATAGAATTATTACAAATCCTACTAAAGCCAATTATAAATGAGTACAAAAATATATTTATCATTAAAACCATTTACAATTTCCGAAACTTTTGAAAATACCCAATTTGCCTAAATATATTAAAATATATTCAGTATTTATAATCTACAATATAAAATTACATAATGATTATCTGTAATATAAATATGATCTGAATATAAATATGATTTATTATTATGATCAATAATAATTTACACAAGAGGAGTAATGGAGATTAATTTTTGACCATCTTATCTTCAGGTTATCTTGAGATGATTTCGGGGCTTTTTTAGTGTCCCCGCGGCCCGGTCCTCGACCAGGCCTCCACCCCCAGGAAGCAGCCCGTGACAGCTGACTAACACCCAGGTACCTAATTTACTGCTAGGTAACAGGGGCATAGGGTGAAAGAAACTCTGCCCATTGTTTCTCGCCGGCGCCTGGGATCGAACCCAGGACCACAGGATCACAAGTCCCGCGTGCTGTCCGCTCGGCCGACCGGCTCCCCAACCATACCCAAATGCTTTGACTATACGCAAGTGTTTTGACGATAAATGTCGATAATTCCTAAGATTGGCGTCTCCGGTCTGATACCTGTTTGATACCTGGTTGATGGGGTTCTGGGAGTTCTACTCCCCAAGCCCGGCCCGAGGCCAGGCTTGACTTGTGAGTGCTTGGTCCATCAGAAAATTCCCTAAAAGCGGAATTCCGCTTGGAGCGGTCCGCAGGCCCACATACCCACCACAGTCCGGTTGGTCCGCACTTTTTTTTTTTTTAGAAAACAATCTAGTTTTCTCTTGAATATGTCCACTGTTGTTCCGGCAATATTTCTTATGCTCGCTGGGAGGATGTTGAACCATGGGCCTCTGATGTTTATACATCAGAGGTCCACGGTTGTGGACGGTTTATCAGGTATCCTTTGGTGTTTAGTCAAATTCTCTTTTGAACACCGAGAGGTCGACCAGTAGAGGGAGTGTTGAAAAGTCTTGTTCTTTGATGTTAATCGAGTTCTTTCTCACGTGCGTATTGCACCATGGCTTTTCACAAGTGTTTTGACCACACCCAAAGGTTTTGACCATACCCAAGTGTTTGGACCATAAAACCCATTCCCAAAGGTTTTGACCACACCACATCGTAATGTTTTGACCATACGCAGGGGACTGGACCATATCCAAGTATTCTGACCGCATACAAGTCAGGAGGGTCGTCAGTGACGCCATTCACGGCTACCTAACATTCAGGAGGGTCGTCAGTGATGTCCTACACGTCTCCCTAACATTCAGGAGGGTCGTCAGTGATGCCCTACACGTCTCCCTAACATTCAGGAGGGTCCTACACGTCTCCCTAACATTCAGGAGGGTCGTCAATGATGTCCTACACGTCTCCCTAACATTCAGGACACGACGCATTCCTTGGCAGCGTCGAGGGAAGCCCCCATCAGAGATACGCTGATCTACATATATATATAACAAGAACTGCACAGGACGTATAGGGAACAGGGATTTCATTTAGCCACATCCTAATCTTCTCTCTCTCTAGGGCAACCAATCAGGATGCTCAGATATCCTCTATGATACAATTCGCACTACATTATACGCAAACATACAGGCTGAAATACTACTTTTATCATGTTATATTGTCGCATCCTGGCGTCGCTGTCTCATCATTTCTGAAGATTACACACATTACACAATCTATGTTGTAGATCACTACAGTAGTGCATATCACCCCAGTCTGATCAATTTCAGTTCGTGATTTATATATATATATATATATATATATATATATATATATATATATATATATATATATATATATATATATATTCTTGGTGAGCGAGGGTGAGGTCCTGTGCCTAACAGCTGCTCCCTCCTCGTGGAGGTGAACCACAGCCATGGTACAGTACATGTAAGTTTCACATTTTTTTATTTTGATGATGATAATGTCTACATGCTATGCTCTCTTATTTAATTAATGCAATGTACTTTTCATGTCAACATTCCCAGTTATAAATGCACGACCATTTATGAATAAAGTCTTTGATTTGATTTGATTTGATTGAAGAGTGAGTGATACATTTTCCGAATTTGTATTCTGTCTTGTTTGTGTTGAAAATATAATAAAATGATAATATTGATGTTTCGAAATTTCCCTTCAAAATAATTGCGTAGCGATTTCTTCATTGATTATTGAAATATCAATATTTTTTTTTTCTAGATATATACAAGAGTTGTTACATTCTTGTACAGCCACTAGTACGCGTAGCGTTTCGGGCAGGTCCCTGGAATACGATCCCCACCGCGAAGAATCGTTTTTTCATCCAAGTACACATTTTACTGTTGCGTTAAACAGAGGCTACAGTTAAGGAATTGCGCCCAGTAAATCCTCCCCGGCCAGGATACGAACCCATGACATAGCGCTCGCGGAACGCCAGGCGAGTGTCTTACCACTACACCACGGACACTGCTAATTTCACGACTGCGTGTGACTCGTTAGTCGCTTGTACATAGTCATCATTATTATCTGGTTTCACTCTGAAAGTTGAATTTCCCTTATTGCTATTAAATGGCATTAGCCCCACTTGTCAGCAATTATCTCCTTTACCCCATTACATATAATTATGTCCATTACAAAAGTAAAAAATATTACTATATTACTTGATCATTATTCCCCTTCCCCATTACCTATCTATTTCAATTTCTTTAAAATGTTCTCATTACACCTTCAATTACAGGTTTATTTACCATTTTCATTACATATACAGTATTTGTCCCAATACAATGACACACACCACTGTGGTGGTGAGGTACATGACACACACCACTGTGGTGGTGAGGTACATGACACACCACTGTGGTAGTGAGGTACATGACACAACCACTGTGGTGGTGAGGTACATGACACACACCACTGTGGTGGTGAGGTACATGACACACACCACTGTGGTAGGGAGGTACATGACACACACCACTGTGGTGGTGAGGTACATGACACACACCACTGTGGTAGGGAGGTACATGACACACCACTGTGGTGGTGAGGTACATGACACACACCACTGTGGTAGTGAGGTACATGACACACACCACTGTGGTAGTGGTGTGTGTAGTGTACCACGACACACACCACTGTGGTAGTGGTGTGTGTAGTGTACCACGACACACACCACTGTGGTAGTGGTGTGTGTAGTGTACCACGACACACACCACTGTGGTAGTGGTGTGTGTAGTGTACCACGACACACACCACTGTGGTAGTGGTGTGTGTCGTGTACCACGACACACACCACTAGCGACCAGTCGAGCGAGATCTGGCGGTTTATGTGCTTTCTTCGTTGAAGTTAAAAGTTCACGTTTCTAAATGTAATGTTGAATAAAGTTACTCTTGGGTTGTGAAAACACTGATTCATGACAACCATGATCTGTTTATACATATTCTTTATGTATATTAGCACACAAATATATAAGTAAACTATACAGTGTGAAAATGTACTCGTAAATAGCTTTGGATTTTAATAAATCTCGTATTATACCTCGCTTATATTCAACTGCACATTTTGTATTAAACTACTTTATTTTACATCAAATTAGCACTTGTGTATTTTCCTGTTTTTAATTTCCGTATTTAAATATTATCTAGCTTTCAAAATTTCCGACTTACAAAGCTTTACACACATTACACCTTTGTAATGTACCTCTATTAAAACTGATGCTGTCATTGTAAATCAGGTGCCGAGAGCAAAGTTCCCAGGTGGAGTAGGGGAGGGCTCAGCAAACATCTACGTCAAACACGGCCACTGACAACCCCGCGGCTTCCAACAATGCTTGCTGACAACCACTGAACGTTCGCTTACTCCGCCAATATATACAAGTCCCAGCTGTGTCTGGGTACAAGTGACAGGATGAACAACCCAGCGGGTTTTCTTCCTACTGGGGAGTGTTGTACATGCTGCTATGGCGGTATGTCCACTCACAAGATGAGTGGCGCTGCCCAATAAACTCGCCCCTCGGGGCAAAATTTAAAATTAAAAAAAAATACACAACTCGCCGACACTTCCCGCCAACCATGCGATGCCCACCAACGTCCGCTAATAGTCACGCTGGCCACCTGTGCTCCACACAACAGGTGAAAACTCGCACACGCTCTAACAGCTCTACAGAGTCCCTTGCCCGACCACTTGGGCTGGACGGTAGGGCGACGGTCTCGCTTCATGCAGGTCGGCGTTCAATCCCCGACCGTCCAAGTGGTTGGGCACCATCCCTTCCCCCCCGTCCCATCCCAAATCCTTATCCTGACCCATTCCCAGTGCTATATAATCGTAATGGCTTGGTGCTTTCCCCTGATCATCCTCAGCCTTGCCACGACCACCGTCTACGACCTGGTGGTGGTCGTAGACGGGTACGTGGCACGCCCGACCACGCCCTCTCAACTACCACATCACGGACTCCTTTATAGCCATTGGCTAAACATTATTTTCTAAAGCACACTGTAAAAGAGGGAATAATGTAAGTGGTGGGGGATAATGGAGGGGTCGTGATGCATGTATAGGGGAGTAATAAAGAAATAAGG